GCGCAGCAGATCAGAACCTCTCTTTCGGTTCTGTTTCCGTTTTCAGGTCCCTCTGTCAGCAGCAGTGTTTAGCGTTTGGCCCTCAAAGGCCACCGTCTGGTGAGATCAGAAGTTCATCCTGATGCAGGAGGTGCAGTCAGGGTCAGATGGCCTAGTCAAAGCCCAGATTACTGGCTATGGTGGGACCAAAGGTACTGAGGAGATGTTCTACTGCTCCACTAACCCTAAGATGGAGGCTGTTTATGGACCCGTCCAGAACCCCCCCAGCTGCTCCCCGGGCGCCGCACCGTGGCGGCCCGCTGCTCCCCGGGCGCCGCACCGTGGCGGCCCGCTGCTCTGTACTGGTTAGTTGTGGTTGGCAGGAGCAGCTGATGGCTGATGGTCGGTATCGTCAGTATTTGCGGATCAGTGAATGAACTCTGATGGGGTCTCAGCTGCCGTTGGGGAAGCGCTGGGATTAAACCTCCACCTGGTCAGGTGAGGACTTTGACTGACCCTGATTCTGAGGAGCTGAACTGAATCTGTCTGAAACATCTTGTCATGTTATGATTTTAACATTTTGCACACAGATTAATCTTTTTTACTCATAATGAGTTTTGTTTTATTTAGGAGTTCAGGTTAATCATTTAGTCTCTGATTTGACCTTTTCTCTTCCCAGGGCTCCATTTATTTCATCATATTTTAGCTATCTTAACCTTTTCCATGATTTTTCCATCTGTTATAATCATTTAACATTCTCCACTGACCTGAACTCAGGTGAGAATATTTGTAGATCAGACATTCCTTCTTCCATAACCAACCAGATTCTTTCTCAGGTTTATTCATGTTACAGTTTAACCAAAGTGTCTGTAATTAGTTTTACGATGCAATAAGGTCCGTATGATGAACTGATCTCTCTTTGCAAAGATATAAAATAAAGATCCGACTGAATGAAATCCTTTGATCTTCGTTTATTTAACTGCAGTAATTAGTTGAATAATTTTTCCCACTATGCTGAGTAATGACCATAAAAGCTGGAAAAAAAGATGAATTTCTCTTGGTTCTGTTGGTGAACTGAAGGTTTAGTTAAACTACAGCAATACTGGAGCAGAAGAAGTTTTAACAGAAGACTAAAGATGGCCGCCCTGCTTCACCAGAACCAGGCGCTGAGGAAGGTTCTAGGAGACCAGCAGGAGGACTGCAGGGACGAACCCAAACACTGAGCCCTGGGGGGCCCCTCTGGACCTGGGGGGACCCTCTGAGCCCTAGGGGGGGCCCTCTGGACCTGGAGGGACCCTCTGAGCCCTAGGGGGGGGCCTCTGGACCTGGAGGGACCCTCTGAGCCCTAGGGGGGGGCCTCTGGACCTGGGGGCCCCTCTGGACCTGGGGGGGCCCTATGGACCTGCATCCACTCTAACCTCATCAATCCTCTGGAAGTAACCAGCTGGGGAACAGAGCCAGACCCAAACCGCACCTCTGAGTCTGGATCAGGGTCTGGATCAGGGTCTGGATCAGGGTCTGGATCTGGACCAGGGTCTGGATCAGGATCAGGGTCTGGACCAGGGTTTGGATCAGAATCAGGGTCTGAATCAGGGTCTGAATCAGAATCAGGGTCTGAATCAGGGTCTGGATCTGGACCAGGGTCTGGATCAGGATCAGGGTCTGGATCAGGATCAGGGTCTGGATCAGGATCAGGGTCTGGATCAGG